GTGGCGACGGTGGTGGCGGAGGCGGAGGGTGCGGCGATGGCGGCAAAGTTGGTGGCGGCGGCGGAGGCGGAGGCGGCGGAGGCGGCAGCGGCAGCGGCGGAGGCGGCGGCGGCGGCGGCGGCGGCGGCGGCGGCGGCGGCGGCGAGTCGGCACGCTGTTGCGACAAAGCTGGTGGCGACGGCTCGGCCCGCTTGAGCAAGCACACGGTGTTAGCGAGAGGCAGGGTGTGAGAGACGCGTGCAGGCGCCAAAATCAGCTCGCATGCCATGTCCACCCTGCCTCGCTTTTTCGGTGTGGATGCGTGCTGCGCTGCCACACACGCTCCGCTAGCCTCACAGAGCGCCTTGCACTCGGAGAGGCTGATTCCCCACAAGGCTGGTCCGCCGCCACGCGCGCCGCTGGCGGTACGGCACGCACCGGCGGGCCCTCGAAGCGGCTCGAACGGCATCCTCTGCTTCACGAGCAGTGCGTTCCCGTTTTGGGATGTGGAGCGTTCCCCGGCACGCTATGCCGAGATGTCGCCTCCGGCGCCTACTGTGTGAATACGTATTCCACCCGTATTCCACCCGTATTCCACGTATTCCATGGAATACGCCGTATTCCAAGCTCCAAAAATGGACGTATTCCGAAAAAATTTTCTTCGCTCCGCGAATTCACACAGTAGGCTCCGGCGACCCCTCAAGGGGGAACTTCAGAGAAATATACCCAAGAGGAATGTACCGAAGTGAATTCCCAGAGGACTATACCCGAGAGGAATATACCGACGTGAATCAGAGGAATATACCCAAGAGGAATATACAAAGAGAAATACCCAACAGGCAACAGGAATATACCAAAGTGGATTATACCAAAGAGGAATACACCGATGTGAATTCCCGAGAGAAATATACCAAAGAGAGAGAGAGAGATTTGTTTTGTTTAAAGGAGGCGGACAGCCCTGGAGGTCACCAAATGGAGGGCGAACGGCACGATACGAAAAGGCAGGGCGAGGCGGATGGAGAAAGAAGTGCCGAGAAGGCCATGGTGGAGGGGAGGGATGGGAGGACGAAAGAAGGGCGAGGAGGACGAGCGGCCCGCACAGGCCGCGAGCAGACAAGCGCCTGCTGGCCACTTCGAGACATTCGCAAAGAACGCTAGCTACATGGGAGGGCTTCGTGAAGGATGGATTGAAATACATTCGAACAAAGAAGAGGCGACGGGAGGAACCGGCGGAGGATGCAGTGACGTGACACACACACACACACCGCTCACCCACGCGCACTGGGCCTTGCACTTTGAATGCCGTGGGGCTCCTGTCGTCAGACGGAAGTTCACCTTACCTTACCTTACCTTACCGGCCTCCGCTGGAGCGCTCGTCCCCGCGGGCAAGAGGCGATATACGGCGCTGCCTCCGCACCGCTACGCGATGACACAAGCGACGCAATCCCGGCGACATGCAGGCACCCAATGCTGTGCCGGAGGCTGACTGGTCGAGGCGGTCGACCTCGTCGTGGCTCTCCCAGCGCCGCCGCTTCTCGTGTGGACAGCTAGTTCGGCTCGGACGCAGTGGACAAGAGGACCACCACATTCGCTGGCACACCGCGGCCGACGCTGTCTGCGCTCCCACGCAAGCGCCGGTATCCAAATCGAATGCATTACTGCGCTTACTGCGCGCCGCCGCCGCCTACCTCAGACTCTGAATACCAATGCGCACGCTCCGGCATCGACTACATTGGTCTGCGCGAATTCGAGGCGCCGTGCGACGTTTGAGGCGGACAGCCCTAGGCGACACGGCGTCTGTGCTCGTGTTTATTGTGCTCGTGCTCAAGCAAGAAGCATCAGTGCGGGTACATGCGGTCCTACCACTGCACACAGTGCTTCCCGGACCCGAGCCAGGTTGGCTACGCGATCTTCAGCCCGGTCGGGACAAAAGCTGGCGACCCTCACCGGCTTTGCCAAGCACCTGCTCGAAGAGGAGCCGTCGCATCGGGCACAGCAGCGCCCCCCGCCGCGACGCGGCGATCGTCCATCGCCGTACCGGCGACCTGAGCCTGCGCCTGTGCCGGCAGCGGCGGCGCCGGCCGCCGCGGTGCCCCGTGCGCGCCGCCGCATCATCTAGAGGTGAGAGGGGGTGAGTGACGAGTGTGCGGCGGCCGGAGGGCGCGTCAGACGACCGCGAGGGCGGCCCACATGCGGAGTGACTTTTAGAAGTCACCCCGTTTCGGGCGCGTCTCAACCGGCGTACTTGAGGTGCTTCAGAGACGGACGCAGCGTGGGCTGTCGGCAAGGAAGGTGAGTGTCTAGGGGTCATCTCTAGGCTGGTTAGCCTTGATTTTGATCAAAGATCGGCGCAAGAAACGGTCGCGATGCCTCGTGTGAACGCTTTGAAGAGTGACTTCTCGCGAAGTCACTCGGTCCTACGGAGAGACACTAGGCGGGGCGGTGGGCGTGCGGGCGCGGCGTGCGGTGGGTGTGTGAAACACTGTGTGTGGGGAGGGCGGCGGGGGCGGGGAGGGTTCTG